ACGGCTTCACTGCTGAATTCCATCAGACATTTAAAGAACTAATTCCAGTTCGTCTCAAGCTTTTCAAAACAACTGAAAAGTAGGGAGTCCTTCTAAACTCCTTCTATGAAGCCATTATCACCTTAATAACTAAAGCAGAAAATATAACAGGGATTGAAATCTATAGATCAATATACCTGATAAATATAGATGCAAAAATCTTCAACAAAATATTAGCTAATTGACTCCAACAGCAAACCTGAAATTTCTTTTACCCAGACCAACTGGGATTTATTCTGGTATTCAGAGATGGTTCAACACTCACAAATAAACAATGTGATACATCACATTAACAAACTGAACAACAAAAACTGTATGGTTATGTCAATAGGTGCAGAGATGCAGAGAAAGCCTTTGATAAAATACAGTACCCATTCATGGTGAAAACCTTAAGCAAATTGGGTATAGAAAGAACATTCATTAACACAATCAAGGGAATTTTTGACAGTTCCACAGCCAGCATCTTATTAAATGGAGGAAAGCTCAAAGATCCAGAATCAGACAAGGATGCCCACTCTCACCATTACTATTCAATATAATCCTGGAAGTTTTAGCCAGAGCTATTAGGTAAGAAAAATATATCAAAGGGATACAAATTGGAAAGGAGGAAGTCAGACTTGCTATTTGCAAATGATATGATACTATATAGAGGGCATCCAGAAGACTCCAACAAGAGACTATGTAAACTCATAAAAGAGTTTGGTAAAGTGGCAGGATATAAAATTAACACAGAGAAATCAATAGCCTTTGTATAAACAGACAATGCCATGGCAAACAGAGCTTCTAAAACTTCTAAGATCAATCCCATTAACAATAGCTACAAAAAGAATTAAATTCCTTGGAATAAATTTAACCAAGGATGCTATTGATCTTTATGATGATAATTAATAAACATTAAAAATAGAAGAAGACATTAAAAAATGGAAAAATCTTCCATGTTCATGGATTGGAATAATCAATATTATCAAAATGTCCATACTAGGCCAGCGCCACGGCTCAATAGGCATCGGCATACCGGGTTCTAGTCCCGGTCGGGGCGCCGGATTCTGTCCCGGTTGCCCCTCTTCCAGGCCAGCTCTCTGCTATGGCCCGGGAGTGCAGTGGAGGACGGCCCAAGTCCTTCGGCCCTGCACCAGCATGGAAACCAGGAGAAGCACCTGGCTCCTGGCTTCGGATCAGCGCGATGCGCCGGCCGCAGCAGGCCGGCCACGGAGGCCGTTGGAGGGTGAACCAATGGTAAAGGAAGACCTTTCTCTCTGTCTCTCTCTCACTGTCCACTCTGCCTGTCAAAAAAAGAAAATAAATAAATAAATAAAAAATAAATAAATAAAAAAATTCATATGGAAACATAAGATGTCAAATAGCTAAAGCAATTTTTTTTTTTTTTTTTTGACAGGCAGAGTTAGACAGTGAGAGAGAGAGACAGAGAAAAAGGTCTTCCTTTTCCATTGGTTCACTCCCCAAATGGCTGCTATGGCTGGCACCCTGTGGCCGGCACGCTGCGCCGATCCAAAGCCAGGAGCCAGGTGCTTCCTCCTGGTCTCCCGTGCGGGTGCAGGGCCCAAGGACCTGAGCCATCCTCTACTGCACTCCCAGGCCACAGCAGAGAGCTGGACTGGAAGAGGGGCAACCGGGAGAGACCCGGCACCCCAACCGGGACTAGAACCCAGGGTGCCGGTGCTGCAGGTGGAGGATTAGCCAAGTGAGCTGCGGTGCCAGCTAAAGCAATCTTATACAACAAAAACCAAGCAGGAGGCATCATAATGTCTGATTTCCAGACATGCTACGGGGCAGCTATATTCAAAACAGTCTGGTACTGGCACAAAAACAGATGTGTAGTAACTTCAGAAATCAATCCATGTATCTACAACCAACTTATCTTTAATAATGGAGCTAAAAATCAATTCCTAGAGCAAGGACAGTCTCTTCCAAAAATGGTGCTGGGAAAACCGGATCTTCACATGCAAAACTATGACACTAGACATATCTTAACCTTACATCAAAATCCACTCAAAATGAATCAGACCTAAATCTATGACCTGATGCGACCAAATTACTGGAGAATATTGGGCAAACTCTGAAAGACAGTGGCATAGGCAAAGACTTCTTGGCAAAGACCCAGAAGCATGGGCAATCAAAGCCAAAGTGGATAAATGGGATTATGTTCAGCTGAGAAGCTTCTGCACTGCACAGGGACACTCAACGAAGTGAAAAAGCAACAAAGAGAAGGGGAGAAAATATTTGCAAACCATACAACTGGTTTAATATCCCGACTCTATAAAGAGCTCAAGAAACTCAACAACAATAAATTAAACAGTTTAGTTAAGAAATGGGGAAAGACTTGAACAGACATTTTTCAAGAGAGGAAATTCAAATGTCAACAGAAAAATTGAAAAAAATGCTCAGGATCACTAGCCATTAGGGAAATGCAAATCAAAACCAACTGAGGTTTCACCTCACTACAGTCAGAACGGCTCTCATTTCTGAAATCAACAATCTGCAAATGCTAGTGAGAATGTCGGAAAAAAGGTATTTAATCCACTGTTTGTGGAAATGTAAACTGGTGTCTACTGTGGAAGACAGTATGGAGATACCTCAGAAATCTGAATATAGACCTAACATATGATCCAGTCATCCCATTTCTGGAAATCTACCCAAACCAAAAGAATTCAGCATATGAAAGAGTTATCTTTACCCCCATGTTCATTGCAGCACAAGTCACAATAATATCTAAGATGTGGAATCAACCCAGATGTCCATCGACCATTGACCGAATCTATTTATTTATATAAATATTCTATATTTATATATATATGTGTGTGTATATATATATATATATATATATAAAATATGGAGTACTACTCAGCTATACAAAAAAAAAAAAACAAAGAATCATATCTTTTGCAACAAGATGGGCACAACTGGAAACAATTATACTTAGTGAAATAAACCAGTCTCCAAAAGACATACATAATATATTTTCCCTGATCCATAGTAACTAATAGAGTATCTAAAATGTAATGTATTGGAGTGAAATGGACATTTCAAGATTCAATGATTGTTTACAATCCTCGCATCTTCTTTTGAGGAATAATTTTTTTTCTTTGTACTACTTTTTGAACTTGTTTACTTAGTATAGGGTTAACTTTACATTCACTAATAACTGAAATTTATCTTTATGAAAACTAAGAGTGGGAAGGGGAGAGGGAGTAGGAAGAAGGGTTGGAGTATAGGTGGGAGGGAGGGTAGGTTGTGAAGTATTACTATGTTCTTAATCTGTATATATGATATATGTGAAACAAGTATATGACTTAAATAGAATTAAAAGAAAACTCCTGGAAAATGACCAAGCAGCATTTGATGGAGGCTGCCATGCAGTGTTTGGATTAAACTTTATGACACCCATAATGGTTTTTACTTTTTATGCTGTACTCTTTTGCATAATTTTCAAATGACATGCACATAATTATTTTTTTTTTTGACAGGCAGAGTTAGACAGTAAGAGAGAGAGACAGAGAGAAAGGTCTTCCTTTTTCCGTTGGTTCACCCCCCAGGAGCCAGGTGTTTCTTCCTCAACTCCCAAGTGGGTGCAGGGCCCAAGGACCTGGGCCATCCTCCACTGCACTCCCTGGGCCACAGCAGAGAGCTTGCCTGGAAGAGGAGCTACCGGGACAGAATCCAGCACCCCAACTGGGACTAGAACCCGGGGTGCTGGTGCCGCAGGTGGAGAATTAGCCTAGAGAGCAGTGGCACCGGCCCACACAATTATTTTCTTGATAGGATGATCCGATTTACTCTTTCAAGGCCATAAATGGAAAGCACATGTTCCTTCAGATTCAGTTATCACACTACCTTAGGTGGTATCAAGCTACGGGGTAGAGGCTGAGATTTTAATTTGAGTCTCTTTTGTGAAAGAATCAACCTATCATTCTTGCTTGCGATTTTGAGAATCTTTGATATGTTTTGAAGGTTATTTTTAGCATGAGACATAAAGATTGAACCTAGTTATGAGGTGCAGTATGACATTTCAACCCAGCTGTATGACATGTTATAATAAAATTAAAGTAATCTGCATATTCTTGTCTCAAAAATTAATCATTCTAGCTTTTTTGTTGGAAGGATTAAACATTCTTTTTTCTATCTCTTTTTAAATATACAATAAATTATTGTTGACTACAGTCACACTATTGGGCTTTATAACAGTAGAATTTGTTCTGCCTATCTAACTCTGCTTTTGTATCTAATCACATCTTTTCATTGTTCTCCCCATCTCTGTTTCACAGCCTCTAGAAATCACTATTTTATTATTTACTGCTATGAGATACTTTTTTAGCTTTCATGTATGAGTGAGCACATGCAGTATTTGTATTTCTATGTTTAGCTTATTTCAACTCCAGACTCATCTATGTCATCGCAAATAACATGATTTCATTCCTTTTTATGTATAATATTCCATTGTACATAAATGTCATATTTCCTTTATTCAGAGGAGAGTTTATATTAAAAAAGAATCATCTTACATTATGAGATTGCTTTTCTGAAATTGAAGGATTTATAAAGTATCTTAAGAGCTTATTTTGGGAGTTACAATTTCTCAATAACTATGGGAAAATATAATTTTATAAATAGAAATTTTTTCTGAATATTATATAAAACATGCAAAAATATAATCAATAAGTAATTTGTATATATACAATATATAATCAGTAAGTATATAAAATATAATAAACAAGTAATTGTTAACTAGGATAAACCTGTTTTAATTAGTCCTAAGTAGTCATAAAATTTGATTCTAATAAACCCAGCAATAAAAATATTGAAACGTACAGTTAACACAACAAGAAATGCCAGAGAGTATACGATGCAAATTATAAGCAATGATATTTTAATAATTACATGATAAATTTATCATTAAATTACAAACAATTCAAATGTATATATAAACATTCAGAACAACATACCTTTGATATCATTTTTCTCTAAGTCTTTTAGTGCTTGAACAAATGTCAGTTGACTTTCAGTGAGAGGCCAACTGTTATACAACACCAAACACTGGATAATGTACTTGTAACTCTGTGAAATAAAATGCAGTTGTTAAGAATAAAAATAGTATGTATTTGCGCTAGGCATATAAGTGCATCCTTTGCTGGATTATGAATGATAATTTAGTTAAATAACATCAGACATTCTCAAAAGTTCTATAATTCTACAGTTTATGAATGTTTTATCTCCTTACATTTACAGTAACATCTGAGATTATCTGACTTTCTACTTTTTGGCAATGTAATATGTTTGAAGGGAAACCTCACTGCTGTCATATTTTGCACTTCTTAGATTGCCCATGAGTTTGAGCATTTTCTCCAAGTTGATGGTGTGTAGGGATTTCTTTTCTTTTCATTCACAAATATTCATCTATATCACCTATTATTACTTTCACAGATTAATATTTTATTTCACAACTATGTCTGTAAGATATTTGGGTCACGCTTTTATTTACCACTAGTTGGGGACAAGTTTTATTTCTCTCTATATGGAAGTAAACTTCTCAGGACCACCTACTCCACAGTCTACCTTGTCTCTGTTGATTTATGATCATCCCTCTCTTCTACATTTTATTTTAAGTTTCTTTTACTTTGTTTTTTAATGGTTATCTCATTCATTCTTCTGCTGCTTTAAAACAGATCCATTGTCCTTTCCCCCTTGAACATATGGCACATTCATGCCAGTTTTCATTAATATGTGATCTATAATCTGTGCTCTTATTAATTTGTGAACTTTGAAGTTATGTAGCCTCTTGAAACTCATTTAGAAAATAATACAATTATATGCATATTATAGAATTAGCTTGCAGATGAAATTTGTTATGTAGTTAAGGATTTTGGCACAGAGGAATTGTTCAAGAATGTCTCATTCTTCGATTCTGGTTGTATCTTGGTGGCACTAAATGTAGAAAATATTATGCATTGACAACTCTTAGGAAGAGGATTGTTTTATTTTATATTTTTAAGAGCAGTGCAATAGCATAATTCTTTTGAATGCAAATACAAATATACCTGCTGTGGTGTGCTACAGTTTTCTTCCCTCGTGGGCAAATTGATAACTTCCTCTTCCAAAAGAGGCAGACCAGTGTCTACAACTGTACTTCCAAGTTTACCCTTATTGAATTTCTGACTTCCTTGGGTAGACTTCTTCTTAGCTGCTGCATCTGGATCTTTCTTGGGTGATGTATGAAGTAAAAGGACTTGCTTGCTTGCTGAATAGGAGATATATTAATTTTATGTTAAATATATGATATGTAAATTTTTATTAAATTAGTTACATCTATCTATGAAACACTCAAAAGAATGGGAGAATTATTTTGGTTTAATGAAAATAAACAATATAATTGGCTTCTTGGGAACATTTTTGCTCTTAAGATAAATTAAATGACTACAACAGAACATTAGCTCCATAGTGCAGTACATATTTGTGAAAAACTGTTGATTGTTAAAAGAATTTACAACAATGTCTCATTCATCTGTGTCACTGAACATCACCATACTTCAAAACTGACTTCCTTACTAATCAAGATCATGTGTATGTCCACACAGTCATAAAACCCTTCTGCTTTAATTTCTTTAAGATTTATTTATTTATTTGAAAGGTAGAGTTACAGAGAGGCAGAAGCAATGAGAGAGAGAGAGAGAGAGAGAGAGAGAGAGAGAGAGAGAGGTCTTCTATCTGCTGGATCACTCCCCAAATGGTCACAATGGCCAGAGCTGTGCCAATCCAAAGCCAGGAGCCAGGAGCTTTTTCTGGGTCTCCCATGCGGATGCAGAGGCACAAGGACTTGGGCCATCTTCTACTGCTTTCCCATGGCCATAGCAGAGAGATGGATCAGAAGTGGAAATCCAAGACTCGAACTGGTGCCCATATGGTATACCAGAACTGCAGGCGGTGGCTTTACCTGCTACGCCACAGTGCTGGCCCTCTTCTGCTTTAATTTCTAATTTCTCTCTGTATTATTTTGTAATTAACAAGTAGTTTTTATAAGATTTGGGGGAGTAAAAAATGGAAATTGTTGTATGCTACTAATGAATTTATCAAACATTTATTGAGAGACCAAAGGTAAACAGCACAATGAAATCTGAGATGAGGTTGTTTTCTTAACACACACACACACACGCACGCACACAGAGAGAGAGAGAGAGAAAGAGAGACCAAATTGAACAAGATGTATAAAACAATTAATTTAAACCAATAGTTAATCATGCCTACAGCCTTAGGCAATAGTCATTGTCTCAGGTTCTCTGAACTCCAATCTTGTTTTTCTGAGCCTAGCAACTCAGCTGTTCACCACTTGGACTGAATTCCCTGTGCACAGCCAGGAAGATACTCACAGATAGAAATCTGAAGAATTGGAGATGTCACATTATGTTTCCCTTCCCTTAGGATCACAATTTTAGGACAATAAAAATTTATTAGTAGAGTACCAGAAATGAGTATCTGAGAAGCTTAGAAATATGCATAGGGATCTGCTTGGTCTTTAGCTAAATTCTAAACTTCCCTTGTACACTCAACAATGACTGGCAGACAAGAACTAGTGGGAAACTGTGAGCTTAATGGAGATTCTAGCAGCTGCATAATGTGGAGAGAAGTGGATTTCTGCCCTGACAAAGTGAAGGGAATTTAGTGAACACCCATAAAATTTGGTTTAGAACCTAGGAAGCTGTCAAGCTTAAAAGTGGAGCTACCTAGAGTAAAAGCAACTCTAGATCTGATGTATATCTGATCTAAATCAGAAACAAGTTGTGGCAGTCTCCGTCTAACCTGTTAACAAAATAAACTGCTTACCTTGACAAAATTATTTCAGTGAAATATAGTAAAGACTCAGCAATATAGCAGTCATAGTGTGCAACATAGTTTATAAGAAGAAGCAAGGAGTGTGATCATAACTTGAGAAAAAAGTTACAGACACATAACTAATACCGGCATTGAACTTAGCAAACAAGGTCTTTAAAACAGTTATTACAAATGTGTTTAAGTACTTAAGGGAAAAGATGGATATACTGAACACCAACCGAAAAAATGAAATATATAAAGAAGCAAAATAAAATTTTTCATCTAACTGTATGTAAAAAAAAGGAACTCTTGTAAAGACTTTAAAAATTCTGAAAATCAGAATTAAAGATTAATAAACTGGAAAATAAATGATAGAAATTCTCTAAACAGAAGTGCAGAGTGAAAAAGAATTTGAGATAGGCTATATTATCTATGGTATAGTGTGGCTGTGGAACAGTGACCCCACAAAGAGATCTGTCCACTCAGCATGCTAGACTGTGATCTACCCGACATAAGAATATTTACAAACTTAATTATAAGTGAAATATCTAAAGTGAGATCAAACTAATTTGAAGCTCACCCCAACCTATATGTCATTTGTTCTCAAGATAGAGAAGGAAGACAGAGAAATACACAGAAAGAAATCAGTGGGAGTATGACCTAGTCAAAAAGAATTTTAGTGACTGGCATTATGGCATAGTGGGTAAAGCCATTGCTGTAACTCCTGTATCTCATATGAGCACAGGTTTGCTTCCTACTAATGGCCTAGAAAAAACAGTGGAGGATGGCTCAAGTGCTTGGGCCCCTGCCATCCAGGAGGGAGACCCAGATGAACCTCTTGGCTCCTAGCATTGCCATGGTTCTGTGCTGGCTGTTGTGGCGCTCTGGGGAGTGAGCCAGCCGGTGAATGGTCTCTCTCTCTCTTTCTGAATCTCTCCCTCCCTCAATTCCTCCTTCCCTCTCTCCTTCCCTCTCCAGCTTGGACTTTCAAATAAACAAATAAATATAGACAAAAACCACTATTTCAGAACTGTATCTTCCAAAACTGAGATAGTAAACATTTGTTGTAGCAAGTTACTCAGTTTGAGTTATCTGTGAGGCATGAGTTTCAAGACTACCATTTTTTATCAGAAACCATAAATTATACCAAGTCCTATATATACTATGTTTTCACCTGAAAGTAGACACCTATGATGGAATTTAGTTTATAAATTAGGCACAAGAATTTCTAAATTAGGCACAACAAACAAAAAGAGGTCAACTACAATAACTAATAAAACAGGACAATTATGTGTTGTGATAGAAGATATATGAATGTGATATTTTAGTCTCTAAAATATATTATTGCACTTTCACCCTTTTCCTTAAAGTAAAGCTCATTACATCTTTACTTGTGGCATGTCCAAATTGCCAACATCACTGCTTTTGTGTTTTGGGGCCAAAGTTACGTAAAATAAAGGCTCATTGGAAACACAAGTGCTGCAATACTACAACAGATGATATGAAAACTGAGATAACTCCTAGGTGACTAATGGATGGGTAGTATATAGGTGGATACTGCTGCACAAAGATGTTGATTCACAAGATAGTGAAGGAGGATGCAGCAGCACCGGATTTCATGACGCCACTCAGAACAGCATGCAATAACAGTCTTAAGAACTGTTTATTACTAGAAGTTTCCACTTAAGATTTTTGGACTGTAATTTATCATCACTAACTGAAACTGTGATAAGGAAAGACTACTGTAATTTGCTCTGGAAGTCACTGGAAGAAAATACAGACAAAAAATGATTTAACATATATATGAGACCTAGACAGAGCTCACATAGAATATTATACTTAGACATAAATTTAATGAAGTATGTATAAAATATTCCATTTAAAATTGTGAAAACTGGTATAGAAATCAAAGACTCAAATATTTGTGAGATATACTTATATATATAAAGATATAGTGAGATATATTTGTGAGATATATTTTCATGGGCAAGAAAGCTCAGTTTTATAAAGATGTTAGTATTTTCCAAGTTCAAAATTCATTGAAATGAAGAGCTGATACTTTGAAAAAATAAATAAAATTGGTACAGCTTTGGCCCAACTAACCAAGAAAAGGGGTGGGTGGGGACCAACACAAATTAACAAAATCAGAGATGAAAAGGAGACATCATAACAGATACCAAATAAATAAATAAAAATCACCAGGATTCTACAAGCAGTTGTATGCAAATAAATTGGAAAATCTAGAAAATGGATAGATTTTGGGAGATATACAATCTACCAGAATTGAGTCATGAAGATACAGAAAACCTAAATAGACCAATAATCAATATGGAGGTTGAATCAGTAATAGGGACCATCTCGGACAAAGAAAAGCCAAGGACAAGATGGTTTCAATGATGAATTCTACGAGACATTTAAAGATGAAATAATTCCAATTTTGCTCAAACTGTTTACAACAATCAAAAGGCAAGGAATCCTTCCAAAGTCCTTCTATGAAGCCCTCTTTATCTCAATTCCAAAACCAGAAAAAGATACAGCAAAGAAAGATAACTATAGACCAATATCCCTAATGAATATAGATACAAAAACTCCTCAACAAAATACTAGCTAATCAAATCCAACAATACACCAATACAATCCCCACTGCCCAGAGCAAGTGAGATTTATCCCTGGATGGTTCAACATATGTAAATCAATAAATGTATATCTTGACAAATTAAAGAATAAAAACATATGAATAACTCAGTAGATGCAGAGAAAGAATTTGATAAATGTAACATCATTTCACGATAAAAACCTTCAGCACTTTGGGGACAGGAAGAACATTACTCAACACAATCAAAGCAATTTATGACAAACCCACAGCCAGCATTATATTAAATGAGGAAAAGCTAGAAGCATTTTCACTAAGATCTGGAACCAGACAAGGATGCCCACTTTCACCATTTCTGTCCAAAATAGTTCTGGAAGTCTGGCCAAAGCCATTAGGAAAGAAAAAGAAATCAAAGTGAAATAAATTGGAAAGAAAGAAGTCAAAATATCACTGTATGAAGATGGCATGATTCTATATATGGAGACTAAAAGGTTCCAGTGATACAATATTGGAACTCATAAGAGAGTTTGATAAAGTAGCAGGAAATAAAATCAACACAGAAAAATCAATAGCCTTTTTATACACAGACAATGCCATGGCTGAAAAACAACTTGTAAGATCAGTCCTTAAACAATCACTACAAAAATGTAAATAACTTGGAATACATTTAACCAAGAATTTTAAAGAGCTCTACAGTAAAAATTATAAAACATAAAAGAATTAGAGAAAGACACAAAAAATAGGAAAAATCTTCCTTGTTTGTGGATTGAACAACCAATATTATCAAAATGTCCATGCGACCCAAAGAAATCTCCACACTGTTTTCCACAGTGACTGCC